CACTTCTCGTTGTGGGGGCATATCTAGATACACAAAAAAAAAATAAAAACCCTCATATATATATCCTAAACCCTAAACCCTAAACAATAAACCCTAAACCCTAAACCCTTAACCATGTAGAGCCTGACGCACCATCTGCTTCGTCTTTTCCTCGTTTTTTCTTTTTTTTATCTTTTTTCTGTTTTTTGTGTTTCTTTGACTTCTTCGATTTCTTCGCTGTCTTCTCCTTCTTCCGTCTGCAGAAAAACGAGGGTTTAGGGTTTACGAGGGTTTAGGGTTTACGAGGGTTTAGGGTTTACGAGGGTTTAGATAAACACCTTCACGAGGCAGCACATAGACAAATAAAAATATAAATAAATACAAAGCATAAATAATATAAAAACAAAGATAAATAAATAAAAAAATTAAAATAAAACATAAATAAAAAAAAAGTAAAAAGATAAACAAATAGCAGTATCAGGAAAAGGGGGGACTATACACCCCAACAAATTGCCACTCTTGCTGCTGCTACTGTTGCTACTGCTGCTGTTGCTGCTGCTGCTGTTGCTGCTGCTGCTGTTGCTGCTGCTGTTGCTGCTGCTGCTGCTGCTGCTGTTGCTGCTGTTGCTGCGAGGAGACAAGAGACAAGCAGCAGCAAAAACAAAACGGCCATGGAGACCCACCGGCGTTTCTCGTCCTCTGAAGAGTCGCTGCTGCTGCTGCTGCTGCTGCTGCTGCTGCTGCTGCTGCTGTGGTGGCGTTTTCGTTTTTTTCTGCTTTCGGGTGCAGCAGCAGCAGCAGCAGCAGCAGAAGCAGCAGAAACCTCCACCACCTCCTCCTCCTCCGAGTCCTCTCGCGCGGGCATCTTGCCTGGGGTCACAGCTGCTGCTGCTGCTGTTGCTGCTGCTGCTGCTGCTGCTGCTGCAGCTTGTGCTGCAGCAGACGTTGCTGCCGCCGCTGCTGCTAGGGCGCAGCAACTTCGGGATTCGCTGGCAGACAGCAGCAGCAGCAGCAGCAGCAGCAGCGCGGATGGCCTCAGCTCACGAAGAGAGAAGAGAGAAACATAGAAAGAAGAAGTAGCCTTGCTTTTGCTGCTGTTGTTGCTGCTGCTGCTGTTGCTGCTGCTGCTGCTGCTGCTGTAGAGGCAGCGCCTAGTATAGCTGTTTGCCCTGCAGGGGCGCTGCTGCAGCAGGAGGAGCAGCAGCAGCAGCAGCAGCGAGAGTAGTATTATAATATATATATTTTTTGTGTTTGAATTTGTGGTGTATATGCAGCTGACGTCTGCATGCATGCAGCCCCACAGCCCCAGCAGTCTGCTGCTGCTGCTGCTGTTTTCTTCTGCTGCAGCAGCAGCAGCAGCTTGTTGTTTTCTCCTGCTGCTGTTGTCTTGCTGCTAGCTAGAGAGACAGTTGCTGTTGGCGGCGGCAGCTGTGGGGTTTTGGGGTGTACATACACCTGGGGTGTTTGTGTGTTCTAGGGTTTAGTCTAGGGTTTAGGGTTTAGGGTTTAGGGTTTAGGGTTTAGGGTTTTTATTAGGGTTTATATTAACATAGAGACACAGACGCAGCAGCTATGGGCTGGGGTGTATAGGCAGCTCCGCAGCAGCAGGGGCTTGTATCCCCTACCCAGCTGTCTCCTTTGTCTCTTTGTCTCCTTTTTCTTCTGTCTCCTTTCTCTCCTCCTTTGTCTCCTTTCTCTTCTCCTTTATCTCTCTCTTTTTTTAGTTACTGCTGCTGCTGCTGCTGCTGCTGCTGCAGCTAGCAGCCTCTCGCCATGCGGGCTGTCTCCTCTCTCTCTGTCTCCTCTTTCTCTGTCTCCTCTTTCTCTGTCTCCTCTCGTTCTGTCTCTTCTTTGTCTCTAAGGGGGCAGCAGCAGCTGCAGGGGCTGCGGCTGCTGCGTGTGGTGTCTCCGTTGTCTCTGCTGTCTCCTCCTGCTGCTCAGCATCTGTCTCCTTTGTCTCTTTTGTCTCCTTCTTCTCTTCTGTCTCCTTTGTCTCCTCCCTGTACACCTTCGTCTCCTTTCTCTCTTCGTAGTGGTTTTGCTGCTGAGGGTTTCTGCATCAACAGCAGCAGCAGCAGCAGCAGCAGCAGGAACAGCAGCAGCAGCAGCAGCAGCAGCAGGAACAGCAGCAGCAGCAGCAGCAGCAGCAGCAGCAGCAGCAGCAAAAGGAGACACTTTTCTGCTGCCCCTTCTCTTATAAAGACCGCCTGGGAGCAATTCAAACAAAAACAGCTACACAGGTAAATTTGTCTGTCTCCTTTTGTCTCCTTTTGTCTCCTTTTGTCTCCTTTTTCTGTCTCCTTTTGTCTCCTTTTTCTGTCTCCTTTTTCTGTCTCCTTTTGTCTCCTCTTGTCTCCTTCTTCTGTCTCCTTTTGTCTCCCTCTGTCTCCTCTTGTCCCCTTCTGTCTCCTTTCGTTTCTTTCTGTCTCCTTTTGAGTGAGAGAAGCAGCCAACAGCAGCATCATCATCATCATCAGCAACAGCAGCAGCAGCAGCAGCAGGAGCAGCAGCAGCAGCAGCAGCAGCAGGTGTCTCCTTTTGTGCTGCTGCAGAGCGTTGCCTTTGCTTGCTGCTGAGGAGGAGCTGCCCCCCTTTGTTTATATAGCCAAAGACATCGCCCTGTCTCCCCCAGACAAAGCAGCAGCAGAAACTCAAGCTGCTGCTATTGAACGCATGCTCCAGGTCTCCTGCTGCTGTTGCTGCTGTTGCTGCTGCTGCTGCTGCTGCTGCTGCTGCTGCTGTTGCTGCTGCTGCTGTTTTGTTGTTGTTTTGTTGGTGTTGTTGTTGCTGGGGCGGGTGCTGTTGCTGCTGTATATACTGCTGCTGCGAATGCTGCTGTTGCTGCTGCTGATGCTGCTGCTAGTTTTTCTGCTGCTGCTGTCGCTGTTGCCGTTGCTGCTGCTGCTGCTGGTTCGAGTGCTGTTTCTGGTGGTGCTGCTGCTGTTGTCTCACCTTAACTGCTGCTGCTGTGCTTCTGCTCTGGGTTCTGCTGC